CGGGGGGGGGGGGGTCCCTGCCTCTTGCTCCTGATCGGCACCCCCTCAGGAGGTCCCTCGTCCTTCAGGAATGTGGTCTGTCTCCCCACAGAGCTCCCCTCCCGGGTCCCTGTTCCCCGTCCTCCCAGAACAGGTCCCCTCCTGCGTCCAGGCCTCCGCCCGAGGCTCTCAGAAAAGCAGCTCCCAGCTCCCCCGTGAGCCTCTCGCTCACATGCAGACCCCGGGAGGGGAAGCCCTTGGGGGCCTAACTCATTCCCTGGCCCGGGGGCCGCCCTGGGGGGACCCGTCAGCCCCTACGCCTATCTCAGGACCCGGTGTGCTGAGCCACGGACGCGGGACAAGGACTGTGTTGTCAGGATGAGGCCATGCCTTGCTCCTTCCTCCTCAGAGGGTCCTAGGAAAAGGATGACACCGTGCCCTCTGTGCCCAGAGAGTCCTGTCCCGCGTGGAGTGACATCCCTCTCGCCCCAAACCCCCCCAAATCGCTTCAGTCCTGTCTTCCTTTTTCAGAACTCCCAGGCGCCCCCACCAACCTGGGCATTTCCAACATCGGTCCCCGCTCCGTGACCTTGCAGTTCAAGCCTGGCTACGACGGGAAAACCTCCATCTCCCGCTGGCTGGTGGAGGCCCAGGTAAGGCCTGTGCAGGGGAGCCCCGGCGCCCGGGAAGCCCGCTCCCAGCCTCGGGCGTGCCCATGCTCCTGGGTACAAAATCCTATGTCCTCAGGTCTGTGTGAACCGTCACATGCAGCCCTCAGATGGGCAAACGCCACAAATGGTCCCAACCCCGTCTCCCCTCCACCTGGGCACACAAACGCACCCCAGACCCCTCCAGCCTAGGCAGTGCCTGGCTGGCCTAGAAACGTAACCAGCTGTCACCTGCAGCTCTTTATTTGTAACTTTATTATTATTACTATTACTGTTATTATTAGTAAATCCCCAGCCCCCGGCCCCTCCCCTTCGGCAGCTTGTTCTCTGTCTCTCTGTGGGCCCCTTTCTGTGTTGTTTCGTTTGTTTTGTTGTTTCTTAGATTCCACATGTAAGTGAGATCATGTGGTATTTGTCTCTCTCTGTCTGATGTATTTCATTTAGCATAACACCCTCCAGGGCAGGGGTGGGCAAACTTTTTGACTCGAGGGCCACAATGGGTTCTTAAACTGGACCGGAGGGCCGGAACCAAAGCATGGATGGAGTGTGTGTGTGAACTAATACATGTTAACACTGCTGCTGGGGAAGGAGCGGAGGGGAGAGCAAGAGAACCCTCCGCCCTTTCGGCTCCGCGGGCCGGATAGAACAGCTGAACGGGCCGGATCCGGCCCGCAGGTCGTAGTTTGCCCACGGCTGCTCTAGGTCCATCCATGTTCTCGCAAGTGGCAAGATTTCATTTTTTTTTTTGGCTGAGTAATATTCCATTAACTACATGCCCCACATCTGTATCCATTCATCTGTGGGTGGACACCCGGGGGGCTTTCACGTCTTGGCTATTGCTAATAACACTGCAATGGCATAGGGGCGCACCTTTCTCTTCGAATTCTTGTTTTGGATTTCTCCAGATGGATGCCCAGAAGTGGGATGGGTGGGTCGTGTGTAGTTCCAGGTGTAATTTTTTGAGGAATTGCCATACTGATTTCCATGATGGCGGCACCAGTCTGCATTCCCACCGCCAGTGCACCAGGGTCCCTTTCCCCACATTCTCACCAGCATTTGTGGTTGGCTGACTTACTGATGAGTGGTCTGCAGCCCTTGAAACCTGCAGGGGAGCACTCAGGAGTCCCAGCGCCCAGTCACACCCCCAGGAATTCCAGTTCTGATTTAGCTGGGGTTTTATTTGATTACTAGAGGCCCAGTGCATGAAATTAATGCACTGGGAGGGTCCCTAGCAGTTGCTGGCTGCCAGCTGGGTACTCCCTCCCTTCCCTCGGCTGGTCCTGCCCCCTGGTTCAACTCCTGGATGAG